CCAATCTCCTCAACACAGTAACCAAACTCTCCATGATAACACGTTCCCCCGTCGGCGTCCACAAGTGACACTCGAACCCAAACCCGGGTTCCTAAAATTCTCCCTGGAATTAACAATCACTGGACAGGGTCGAAGCATACCCTATAGTAGAAAAACCACACCAAATGCACAATCAGAAGGTCCCTTGCCAATATTGTCACCTTTAATGATTTCTAAAGCATTACAGATATCTCCAAAACTGTACCTACGCTCCATGAGTCCACTGGCATTACAAGAACACAGTGTACCCGCTAAAATTGGTGGCAAAGCGGAATTACCAATACTCCCTTGAGCAAAGTTCTTAACTGACCCAGAGCGAAACTCGAGAGGTACTATACCAAATTGAATGTCCACCACGGTACTGAACTTCTCCAAATGTCTTTGAACTAGTTGTGCGCTCCCCTGCAAGATGTACAACTGGGATTTTCTTCGTCCCTTCAATACAACCCGGACACCCCTTTAAACCTTCAAGACTCCACCTCCACCAGAAAATTTGAACCCTTTTTCATCCAAGGTACTCAGTGATATGAGATTCTTTCCCAAGTCTAGAACATGTCGAACCTGATCAACTGTCCTCACTGTTCCATCCTATAGCCTCAATATGACCCGACCGATTCCTGCAACCCAGCAAGATAGGTTGTTTTCCATCAAAACTCCAACTTGGTTCACCATCTCATATGTTTGAAACAAATCCCTATTGGGACACATATGATACGAACAAGAAGAATCCAAAATCCACTCCTCAGGTTTGGATTCCTCGTCAAATACAGCCAACATCACATCTCTATCATTACAAAAATTTTCAACAATATTAGTCTCGTTCGAATTACCTGATTGCTCCGCAGGATTTGCATGTAAATCACCTTTACCCTGCAACTTGTCACAATCTTTCTTGATGTGCCCTTTCCTCTTGCAGTAATAACAATACACATTGCTGTACCTCACCTTCGATCTACCCCTTCGTCGATCACCATGAGTAACAAGAGCATCCCCACTCCTAGATGCAAGATCTCCAACCAACAACTCCATCTTCTCTTTTGATAACAGGGCATCGTATACCTCCTCAATGGATAACGTGTCACGACTATACAGAATAGTATCATGAAATGATGAAAAATAATTGGGTAGCGAACGCAACAGGACCAAGGCTAGATTCTTTTCATCATATTTTACCTCCAACGTCTCCAAATCTGCAACGATCTCCTTGAACACAGCAAGGTGGTCCTGCAGTGACCCTCCTTACACCATGCGATGAGAATACAACCTCTGCTTTAGAGTCAGTTTGCTCGTCAAACTCTTTGTCATGCACAACTGCTCCAGCTTGAGCCACAAAGCAGCCGCTGTCTTCTCCTTCAAAACATCTTGTAGCAAATTGTTGGATAAATGAAGTTGAATTTGCGCTAAAGCCTTTCGATCCTTTCGTTGTTTCTCCTCCATAGACAAGTTTGCTGGCGTCCTATCAAAACCCAGTAAAGCATCATCAAGATCCATCTGCGTCAACACAGCTCTCACATTTACTTGCCACAGCGAAAATCTTGTATTTTGATCCAATAGCGTAATTTCATACTTTAACAAATTCATCTCTGAAAAATCTCAATCAAATTACGAAGAACTTGCAACCTGTAACTCCCAAAACTAAAAACTACCGAACGTGCAAGGGGCAAAATAGTCCAAAACCACAATTTTACCCAAAACTAAAATTGGACACCACCACAATGTCCTTCTTGTCGTTTGAAGAAAACTACCTGAGGACACCGTCGTCGGAAACCACCACACGCACCGCCATTCTCTAGCCGGAGTTTCCACCGTCGGCGAACGGCCGGAAACGCGCCGACGACCTGTGACCCTTTCTGTACCTTTTTTCCTGCTAATTCCACTAGTGGTGATCGTTTCTCCAAATTCTTTTTGGTTTGACTAGAAAAAGCAAAAATAGATCCGGCAAAAAATCGAAAAACTGGACAGATTTATTTTCTGATTTTCTGGTAATTTTCAGACCAATTTCTGATCAGTTTCAGGCCAAAAATCCACCAATAACCCCGATCTGATACCACTTGTTGGGATTGGTGGAAACAAAACGCAAGAATTTAGATTTAATGGACACCAATTTGAAGTATAATATAAGATCGCAAAATAGCACAAACAAGATTAAAGTAAAAGATGAATTAAGCAAAGGAACGAGGAATTTTATTAATATGGAGAGAATTACAATTGGACAGCAATGATACTTCAATAAAACTGACAGAGGCGACATTAATTTATAGTCGACGAGTCTAACCCTAAAAGAGTCCCAAAAAGGTAGAAAATATAATGCAATTTAGACTACTATTTGAGTCACACTTTTAACAGTATTGTGATCCCTATAGTGATGAATTTTGTAGTATTTCATTTTTTGGTCCCTCGAGAAAGGGTGTTCTTCATCCATAACCGGTGAAGGTCTGGGGATATTGCATGGATCATATCACTGGGCTCCATAAAACATTAATATTTCAATTTTTGTAATTAAAAAGAATGTACATGGGTTTTACCTTTGAGCTTTTCCGTTTGACCTTCCTCTACTTTCTTTCGATTGGCAATAGTTCTTCAGTTTGGATCTCACTTTGGATCAATTTTACCAACTAATAATAGGATGTAGGATTCCGATTACGAACATCCTACCAGAAGAGAGTCTCCATCATCAAATCATTCCATAAGTCATCTAGCCCTTTCATTCAATATAGTCCCAGCTATCAATTTAGCTTTGAACTGTGCAAAATAGCTCTTTAGAGACTCTCATTCTTCTTACCGCTTGTTATTCAATTGCGTGGCTGTAACTTGTCTGATTCTACTTCTAGGGAATGCTACCAAGAAGGTTTGCTTCAATTGTGGCAAGTTTCTGATTGATCCTAGCAGCAATTTGCTATACCATCTTTTAGCCTATCTATCCAGAGTTAAGTGGAACCCTTGCACTTCATCTGTGTCATGTATTCGAACTAATGGTACATAAGATCTCATTTTCGATTGTACTTCTCCATTATAGGACGAATAAAATTGTCAAAGATTGGCACCTCTTTGATTTCCTTGAAGAGCGGCATGCATTTATCATCGCCATCCATTTCATATGATCTAGTCGAATGACCATTTTACTATTTTGTTGGAAGAGCAATGTATGATGTATCACCATAATTTTTAGTTCTTCAATCTCTATGATGATAATTTTGAGTTGATCTCCTATAGCAGGATCTTAATTCATCCATTGACCTCCCTATCTCATATTCGTCATCATACAGATCCTTCCTTCTCTTCTCTATGATATCATTGGTTTTTGAAACCTACAAGTTGCTATTCTTCTCATGGAAGAAGTTGGTTGCACGTTTATCTTCATTTATTCCCAAATCAACTTGCCAATTTCTTGCCAAATTTTCAGTTTTTGCTTGCAACGATGCATTCTTCACGATGTAATTTAGACTCTTATGCCTTTTCATGTATTATTGTCATAATAGATGCATTTTTTTAAGTAACAATGATGAGTGGAAGAACTGCTGGTTTGCGGTCTTGACGACGTTTTCCGCCATTGTCATTTTGGATTATCGTCACTATTTAAACGCTCATCGCTATTATGTCCTTTTGGTGATAAATTTTCTTCTGAATTTTCTCCCATAGGATTCATCATTTTTTTAGATGAAAAATTTCCCGAGTATGATGGAGTTTCGTGGTTTTCCTTGTTCAAGTTTAAGTAACAATGATGAGTGGAAGAACTGCTGGTTTGCAGTCTTAACGACGTTTTCCGCCATTGTCATTTTGGATTATCGTCACTATTTAAACGCTCATCGCTATTATGTCCTTTTGGTGATAAATTTTCTTCTGAATTTTCTCCCATAGGATTCATCATTTTTTTAGATGAAAAATTTCCCGAGTATGATGGAGTTTCGTGGTTTTCCTTGTTCAAGTTTTCCCTCAAATTGTGCCAAATTTGTTGATAATAGAAATCATATCAACAAATCTTACTCACCTAACTATAACTTTCACATCCTAAACACGTTAGTTTTCATATTCAAATAGGAGTAAGAAGAGAAATAACTATTTGAGAGAGAGATTTGAATTGTATACATTCTTTTTTCAAATAAGAGGGTATTTATAGATTTCCCTCCAAGTATTGAGGTAATTTGGTCATTTTTAGGGAATACTAGATGGCAGCTCCTCATAGGCTCTCTTATAACTAATTGGTTAGGAATCACGCTTCATTTGTTCATGTGCCATTTATTGATAGCATGTAACCAGCTTGGACTGAAAATAATTCATAATCTTAAAGTAAGCCTCCCATGCTTTCGTTCTTCTCAAGTATCGCAAATGCTTCGCCAATGCTAGCTAGGTTCATAGATTTTATTTCAAGGGCTAAACACCCATTTTGATATTATTATTTGATTTTATGCTTAATAGCTAATACGAGTAGAAAATATTGTTAGAAATATCTCTTATCCATCAGGTGACACATTAAATATGCATTTTGCACAGGATCTATTGGACCAAGGAGCTCGAACAATAGCTTTTGTGGGACTTCCACCAATGGGGTGCTTGCCCATTTTAATAACACTCAATTCCGGTAATGCATTGCATAATCGTGGATGCATTGAATCATTATCCGTTACTGCGGTTGATTACAACCAGAAGCTACAAATGAAATTGAAAACCATGCAAAGCCATGTCTCTGGTGCCACAATCGTTTATGCTGATATTTATAAAGTAATGGATGAAATGACTCAAAATCCCTCCAAATTTGGTAAGTTGATTAGCCTTCTTTATTTCTTGGCCAAGTGATTATTTTAATTATCTTGAGCAAAAATTCTTTTGAGGCCAAAGAGAGGTAAATGGCCATACCATCTTTTAGAGGGTCCAAAACTAAGGAGAAGTCTGTCTATAAAACAAATCATGCGAATCGTCGATCCTTTCTACTTCGGGGCGATGAGTACCACCTTCTTACTTCAAGGCTAATGCTTAAAAGTGACTTACCGTAAATTTTGGACATCATTCTCTTCCTTAATCTTATTCAACCATGTTTAATATAATGTACTAAAATATTTTTCTGTCTTTTTTTTTTTCAATTATTATTTTTATTAATTTTCTGAACAATAAAAAAAGGGATAAAATGTGACATGCAGGTTTTAACATCGTCCACGTCGGTTGTTGTGGAAGTGGATATTTAGAAGCTTCAATTTTATGCAATCCAGCATCACCGGTTTGCTCTGATGCCTCCAAGTATATGTTCTTTGATTCAGTACACCCAACTGAAGCAACATACAACTACATCTTCAAGTCACTGCGTCATGCCATTGATCAAATTGTCAAGAATTAGTATTTTTTATTTTTAATTGAGTGTAGTCCAAATAATGATTCCCCCCAAAATTTGCAAAAAAGTTCGTAAACTGTTTTCATACTTAGCAATGGGAATTACTCTATACACTCTTACATACGTATTAACTGATTACAATTATCCAAAAATAGCCTCTTGCTCCGGGTTTTACCTAATTATAAATGGGAAAATAGATTTATAATATGACTATAATTGTATATCGGACAAAACTCAAGTTGCCTCTTTTTTGTTGGTTGCAATTTTAAATTATTCACTTATTGGACTATGCTTTGATGTTTATTCTGGATTTATCGATATTGGAAATTACATGTCTTACGCACAAAATAAAAAATAAAAATTATAATTCAGAAATTACGTTTTTGCATCTTTTTTTTATCCCATTGTTACTGTATTTTATAAAGTAAACTTGACATGCAAAAAAATACTTAACCCCAAAGAATAATCAATTCCAATAGCTTATAACACCTCACCAAGCAAGTCACATCAATTTCCCCTCAATTATAGC